GCAAGGTACATGTCAAGGACGGGGTGTATAAATGGATTTTTATTTATTCACAACTCCAAGACTAATTGCTTCCTTTTGCCTCCAGGCCACGATTGGTTTTAATATGACACTTCAAAAATATTCATAGAACTACTGAGATGCTAAATGTCATTGTTTAAGAGACAACACTCACTTGGATACCATTGACCCTGAAGACGGATGTTCTAGTTGATTTTCAATCCGTACATTTTTTTTTTCTTAAAGAGTTTCATTTGATACCAGCTGTATTTAAAAAAAAAAAAAAGGGACAATTTAATCAAAACAAGTGCAGGCCATTCTAAAGGACCTTTACTTCCTTAATGCTGCAGAAGTCTTTGTTTTTCTAGTCCTGAATCCTTTTTTGTTATTAAAGAGCTGAACTTTATACATGTTATTTTAAAAAAGGGTACATCTGGGCCATCATTTATTCTCAAGTGTTTGAAAAAGTTATTAGTTAAATGTCAAGTACATACATGGAGAGATTCAGACATGGACTACAATGTACTTTTTTAGGTATGTGCCAGCCCTGAGACTTGAACGCAGGGCCTGGTGCTGTCTCTGAGCTTTTCCACTCAAGGCTAGCTCTCTCCTACTTCGAGACACAGCTCCACTTCCAGATTTTAAGTGGTTCATTTGAGATAAGAATCTCACAGGGACTTTTCTGCCCAGGCTGGCTTTGAACTGCGGTCCTTAAGATCTCAGCCTCCTGAGGAGCGAGGATGACAGGCATGAGCCACCAGTGCCCAGCTTTACTATATTACTTTTTGTGGGTTGGCATCTTCAGTGGTGTGTGTGTGAGAGAGAGTTTCTAGGTACCGCAGAGTATCGGTTGGCTGTAAACTAGAATCTGCTGGGTTCCACAGCTTGGGGAGCGGCTAGACAGCCTGGGGCCCTTGCTATACAGTTCCCTGACCTACTTCTGCAAGGGTCTCTTTTTCTTTTTCTTTTTTTTTTTTAGGAGTTAAAAAAATCCATAAATTAAGGAAATTAACCGTTGGGGGGCCTGCGGCATCTTTGTAAGCTATTTAAATCTATAAATTTACAACATCTTCTGCATATATCAAGTAATTGAACTAAACTGAAGGAATGTAACTTTA